CCGCCTAAAAGAGACTTAATTTTTACTTATTCCCTTTAAGAGCTTATAATTTCCCATATTCAGATGTCTACTCTTCCATTTGGGAACTTTTATTTTAAAACAGGAACTTGAGATTTGTTTAGCTTTGGGTGTGGCTGACATTTTTCCTTTTTTTTTTTTCTTTTTTATTGCACATTTTGTGGAAAGCCTTGTTCTGGAATGTCTACTTTAAAACTGTAGCGCTAAGTTAATAAATCAGAGTCTATTACATCTCCCTGAAATGAATGTTAGTGCAAGTACTTACGTAACTGCAGTCAAATGGCATGTGCAAATAGCAGGAAATTTCTGAAGCTAAAAACGCGCTCTTTGAAAAGAGTGAACTTGCAATCACAAGTTCAGTATAGCTTAGGAAGTAGTGAACTTTAAAAAGAAAGCTGTGGGAGTGGGAAGAATAATGCTGGCATAAGTGCAAGTGTGTATGTATAATCACGAGAAAATCAGAAGAGAGACCTAATCAACAGATGGTCTTCCAAGGCGAATAAAAGCTTTGAGGAAGTCGAGCACTTCTAGATAAAGCTTCACAAATTTGTAGGTGTGGTTACACAACACCATCACCTACAATAGCAACAGAAGGTCATAGATCTATATTCCTACTTACAACAGGAGCTTTGTTTGTTTGCACCAGGACAAACTAGGAGCTTGTACTAGGAGCTTCAGAGCACTAAATGAAACAGTTTTAAACTGCAGTAATCTAGGCTATCATACTCAGTTCAGCAATAATCTCAAGGCTCTTCTTTGTACTGCTCTAGTCAACTGTAGGTATAGTTTGTAGATAGCTAAGACACAGTAGATCCTTCTACTGTTATCATGCGTTACCACACCTTTATGTAAAGGGAACACATGCTTCAGAGCACCTAATACAGTACAGCAGTTATCAAAAGTGCTAAGCAGGAAGTTTTTGGAAACTACTTTGTGTTCAATGTTCTGCTACACTTTTAAGCTTTCCTTCACACCTGTGCCGGCACACCTGCATGCACAGACCAGACCAGAAGGAAACAGCTGCACATCCTGTAATCATAAAAGCACACATACCTGGGAACTTGCCCTTGTAATGTGTCTGTCCACTTGAAATTCTGAATATATCTCAACTTGCACTCTTGGGAAGAGTCATCCAGTGAAAGGATAAAACCTATAGAATAAAAAATAAAACAAAAACGTATCAACAGGTATTCTCACAGTAAGAAACACAAAAAAGTAATGAAGGGATGGGGATCCATGAGAATATGGATATAGATAAAGGAACGTTTCTTGCTTTACCACTCAAAAAAATATGCTACTTCCTGGGGCTGTTATTTGATATTTTGAGAAAAAGATGTGCAAAAAAACCAAACTGGCTACTACAAGAAACTCATTGCCCAGCAGATTACCAGCTAAACCCTCCACGTCTTCATTGCTCAAGGAAAACCTTGCAGACATCTGCATGTCCCGTAAGGTGACTCATCAGGAGTTGGACTGACCCAGGTGCAGGATGGCTGAGACTGCTCGAGGTGAGTGCCTGTCCCTGCCACCACACCACCAATTGGGAAATTCCAGGAAAAGTTGCCCAGTCAACTGGGAAAAGGGTTTGGAAGCATGGACTCCCCTAGTCACCACCTCTTTTGTCTCCAGGGCTACAGGAAATTAGTTCTTTATGTCCAGCAGCCCAGAAAGCAGCTGGGGTGAGGCTCATGCTATGGGATGTTCCAATCCCAGCATATGCAGGCCCAAGGAATTTTTCAGGGATGGGGAAGACAGGCCATGGTCTGGTCAGGTCTTAGAGACTTCGGAAACTCAAAACCTGCAACAGCAGCTATCGGGACTATAGCTCTACATGCTGTCACATGTTTGTAGAGACAAAACATACTTGTTCCTTTTAAATGCAGATTTTAGTGACCAAGCATGATACCTTCCTGAAGAAACTCTCCAAATCTTGTCTGCAGCAACACAAACTGTTTATCTAGAATGTTCTGTTAGCTTACACTCTCCCAGGGACCAAGAGAACTAAATTAAGTTGAGCTGCTTCACTTCTGACAGACTGACATATCATGGTTTCCATGAATCAGCTGATTCCTCAAAACTCAGTCCTAAGAAACTTATCTGAGCACCTGACTGCTAAGAGAGTTATCAAAATATTGGCAAGAGGAAGGTTCCAAGAGAATGTGTCATCATAGGTGACCATCTACTGAATATGTAGATACTGGGCTAATGAGCACCTACATATACATAAGACAAGCAGTAGTAGAAGTGTAAACTTCCAACCAGTCTATTATCTTGCCTTAGACAAACCAGAAGTTCACACTGAAGAGCGACTCCTATCAACTAATGAATAGACACAGTTTATACTTAAGGACCAATTAACCACAATCTAAGAGACAAATAAACATTTTCACCTCCAGCAGGAAGCAGACTGAGGTTAAAAGCAAGAAGACAGGACTGTCAACACTAAGTCCTGGCAGGGTCACAAAGGACACTGAAATCCGCAGAGAAGTCCTGGCGAGTGCCTGTTGCTGGTATCAAGTGTAGAACCCATGGAGATACTCTCCTTCAAGTGCAAAGCTTCTTTACAAAAGATTAGCACAAAACACATTCTAAGAAGTGTCATTAAAAGACATATTGTATACCTCTTGATGTATTAGCAATATTGCTAACAGAAGTTCCTACCTTGCAGGAGTGAGAAGTACAAGTCAGTTGCATTCTTCATCATTTCTGGATTACAACTCGAGTCTGTAAACAGCTCCAATAGTCGTGACCGAGATAACCTCAAATCACTGGATGGAGGGGCCAAAAAAATGAGAAAAATAAACCTAAGAAATTCCACCCAAGAATGTATTATTAAGAAAGTACCCAGTCACGTATACCACCACACTTTTGGCTAAGCAAGTGAAGCTAAGCATTCAGATTAGATATATGAAGGCAAGGAAAGGTACTTTATGAGGAAGATGGCAATAAATACAGAAAAAACTTCCTTTCTCCTCTGGATACATACAATTGCCTCTAGTTTAAAGTACAATCCATTTTGGACAGACAGCCACAGATAACCAGTACTCACTACCAACCTATTGTTCTAACACTAATTAAAATAACTGCCTTTATCTACCAAGAGGCTGGGTGCAGGGGGAGGGAGGCGAAGTAACAAGCTGGAACATTCTTCAACAATGGGATGAGCATAGGAAGAGGCAAGAATAGATCTGCAAAATAAGCTGAGATCTCTTTTCATTATATTCCTATCCACAATAGAACATTCATCCCTTATTCACTTATGGAAATTACTTGAAGTAATCTTTTGAAGGAGAATGCGCAGTCATCAAAACGACAATGGAATGTTTAGTCTTTCGCCTCTGCATTATTATAATAGGCCTTGCTATACACTCAGACACTTGAAAATTGGGTAATTCATTCTTTTTGACTAAATATTCAGTGTTATCAGTGTCTTATTGTCTCCCAGCCTACATGTTTCTGGTCATCTTAAGAACAAAAATTGAAGCATAAACATCACCTTCAAGGATGTCTTCCAAATCTTCAGAGACAGAGCCAAGTTAGTCCAAGTACACTTACTTGCAAATTTTTGTTGCAGCTGGAGTGGTAGCTACCCCATAAAAATTAAACGAAACGGGAGCCGTAGCCTTCAAAGGGTTGCGATGAAACCAGTGGGTCATTTTCCTTCTGTAGCGTTGTTTCAGTCAAGTCTGAAGTGTGGAAAGAAATTAAGAGCTGCAGGAATGGGTAGAATCGCTATATATGTCACGCTCCTCAGTTCATGAAAACACATTCTGAGAGGAAACAACTAGGAAAGAAATTTATTTGCCAAGTTGTACACAAGTACCCAGAAGAAAACAGATTTCTTTTTTTCCATTTGAAACATTAAGCTTCCACACGCCTTTGTCTTCATCATCCACATGCCTCGTTTGAGAATTTGACTCTCCCAAAATACGCGTGCTCTCTCAGGCAACTATTTTAAGTTGTGCAAAGAGCTGTAACCTGCTGCTGTATTTCCCAGGTAATTTACAGGTATGTCTCAGTTCACTAAGGTGGTTAGGCTGTGTCTGGTCAACCTTTTTCTTGCAGCATCATTGATACAGATGAAACTGCTGAACACCTGGGTACATTTACACACATGTAACAGACCTGGAAGTTTAGAAGAGTCCAGCTGGGACAGACCATCTTTTTCATTTTACCTCAGTTTCAGTACACGTACATAACGTAAGCATCCCAAGGAGCGACAAGGGAGGGCACGCGGGGACACGGTTCAGTAGTCATGGTGCTGCTGGGCTGACAGTGGGATTCGATGATTTTAGAGGTCTCCTCCAACCTTAGTGATTCTACCCTACGTACCCAATAGAAGACGGAACTTCACCATGAGGGCAGTGGGACGGAGGAAGGAGTCACCCAAAGAGCTTGCGTACTCTCCGACCTCATCGGCTTCCAGGACCTCCCCGGACAAAGCCGCGACCCGCCCGGTGTGACCTCAGTGCCGAGCCCGCTGCGAGAGACACGGCCCCCCCGCCCAGACCTCCTCCCCGTCACGGTTCTTGCTGACACACGACAGCTGCCCGGCCGCGAGCTCCC